TAGTAGTGTATGTTATGACAGAAGTTAGTCTGTTCTTCTGCGTATGTATGTAGTATAAACACTGTTTAAGTGGCATGCCTTTTCATAAGACAGGTAATGATGTAAAACGTTCCCTGTTAGGGTTTTCAGAATGAAATCATCAATAAGTACCTGTGTTGAATGCAGTTTGTAATGTCTCAGAGCAGTTTCTAATACAATCGTTTTCAAGTTGAATCAACTTCTTTAAGAGTTTCTGGGGAGAGTCAGCAGTTTAAAATTTTAAAAAATGTGAATTTTGTCTATGAAAGTTGGATGTTTTGCCCCTTAGCATTGAATTGGTGAATGCTGAAAACTTTCAAAAACGTTTATTTTACAGCTCAGCCTAGACTTAGTAACATGTATGACTGTGTTCAGTTTGCTCTGTTTGCTGATGTTTTATTGGTTTATGCTGTATAGACTAATCCTCTGCTATCCCACCTTGCCATATGAGTGCTAGTGCATGTGCCATTAAAGGTTTCTAAATGCATGCAAACATCCTTTCATTAACAAAAAGATAAGTTGTTCTCACTTATAAAGGAATAATGAAAGAGATGAATGAATAATGTAAGAGCTTAAAACTTAAAACTTGAAGGTTCTTATCCTAATCCTCAATAAGTTCTTCTTTAAAAAAAAAAACCTGTTTTACTTTGTATCAGTATTCAGTGAGAAATCATAATTCTTTTTGTGTAGTGCCTCAAGGCAAACAAGATGACAGAGAGATTGGCTCTTTGTAATTACCTTGTCTGCTCAAAGAAAAAGGTCAGAGGTAGAGCTGCCTCATCCAGCCATTGGACTTTGATACCTCTCATAGGGTGTAGATGAAATTGATGGTTAAATTAAATCACCACCATCTGGGATGGAAGGGTGGAGAAACAGACATGAGTTTCAATAGAGGTTCTGGTATTAGTGTTAGGGTTAGTATATATAATGTACTAATAGTTACCTGGTTGGTTTAAGGAATACATTTTCTCAAAGAGTTGTTCGAAAAAAAAAGTAGTCAGGAGGTCTTTTTGGATTTCCTTGGACAGTATGTCTGTTAGTGAGGCAATTCCTGAGTGCATTTTACTGTGTTCTCTGGATGTAGATACATCAGTGTCTCGTCTTTTTGTTTTGCAGAGTTGGAGGGCTATCCGGTGTATCAATGCCTTATTGATAATGGCAGAACACCCGCCGTTGCTAGACACAGCTCAGATTTTAAGTAGCGACATCTCTCTTCTGTCTGCCCCCATTGTAAGTGCAGATGGAACACAACAGGTAAGGAAATGGAAGTGTAAGTTACCTTGTGTCTAATTATTGTTGTTTTCTTATAGCTAAGGGGCTACTTTCTGTGCTGTTGAATAACCAGTAGTAATAGACTTGTAGATTTTTCTGTCCTCTGCGAACATGGCAAGGAAAGTGTTTGTCTTGGTTTTTGTCTTCATGTGTGCTCACATACTTTCTTAGCATCACCTTCTTTTGCTAACTTGCTTTTCAGGGTCAGATGGGAGTCTCTTAAGGTTTCTCCTCCCTCACTAACCACAGATGTGGCAGATACTCATGGACTTTTATGAGTCTCTGACAGATTTCTGCTAACATTTGTTGCTTGAGGCCAGTCACTGGCTTCAGTGTGCCTGTTAATTAGTTAATCACAGTACACTGCCCTGGTCGCTGTAGCTGTGTGTTCTGCTGAGGGGAAGACATAGGACCAGGCTGACATATCACCACAGTAGCCTGTGCCTTGTTTCTCTTCTCTCAAAAAAGGAGAATCCATTGGTAAAAATTCCTTAAGACCTGAGGGCACTGAGGCTCTGAAGTCGCAGTAGTGGTGTAAATGGTGTCAGGAATAGTACACACTAAAGCAGAAATATGGGGGAGTGGTCCGGTAGCTGTAGGACTGGCTATATGTAAAAACCACACAGAAATACAGCTGGAGAAACGGCTCAGTAGTTAAGTACACTTGTTTTTCTTGCAAAGGACCCAGGTTCAGTTCCCACCATCCCACATGGTTTGCAACTGTCTTTAACTTCAGTTCCAAGACATCAGTGTCATCTTCTGGCCTCTGGGGACACTAGACATACACACAGTGCACTTACATATACACAGGCAAAATACTCATACACATAAAATTAAAAGGTAGTTTTAAAAAACTGTATAGCAGACAATAATTGGCGGTAGGCAGGCAATAAACTTGACAGTAGATATTTTATTTATTTATTTATTTATTTATTTGTTTGTTTGTTTATTTATTTAATTATTTTGAAATAGGGTTTCTCTGAGTAACAGTTCTGGCTGTCCTAGAACTCACTGTGTAGACTTGGCTGGCCTCAAACTCAAAGATCCAGTTTTCTTTGCCTCCCAAGTGCTGGGATTAAAGGCGTATGCCACCACTGTCTGGCAACAGTGGATGTTCTTAATATTGGTTCAAGAACTGACTAATAAGCCAAGTCAGAGCTCCCCTGCGAGTCGTGACATCATCTGGAGCCTGAGAGAAACAGCAAACTATAATATACTTCTGCAGGCAGCAGAAAGCGTGTGCCAGAATGGTATGGGAATTCCACAGCAACAGATAGATACTTTCATCTGTTGTCTGGACTTTCTCAGTGGGATGCTTTCTCTTGTATCTCTTGGGATCAAATTAACTTCCTTATATTTGGCTGTTAAGATTACCTATCCCCTCAAGAATACTTTGTTTTTATTCACTACTTATATCTACTAATGTATTAGCTATAGTGGGTTTGGCTTGTGGATTATAGCAGGAGTCTTCTGACATCTAGTGCTGCTTTTAGAGAAACAGTGATAGGCATCCTCTCTTTTGACTGGCACAGCTGAGTCTCTTTTGGCTTTATCTTCTTACTAGTAGAATTTTTTTTTTTTTTTGAGACAGGGTATCATTGTGTAGCTCTGAGTGGCCTGGAACTTGCTATGCAGACCAGAGTGTCTTCAAATTCACAGAGCTCTCCCAGCCTCTGCTTCCCAAGTGCTGGAATTAAAGGTGTGCACCACCAACACTCAGTTAGTAATAGATTTTTTTTTAATAATAATTTTATTTATTTGAAATTGTAACCTAGTTACATCATTTCCTCCTTCCCTTTCCTCCCCCTAACCCTGCCATGTTGTACACATATCACCGACCCCCCCACACACACACACACAACACTGCCCAATCTGTATCATGTTACCTGTATATATGTGATCTCAGGGCTGACCACTTGATTCTAGATAACCATTTGTAGGGATTATTCCTGGGGAAGCCTATTCTTCCACTCAAAGCATTCCCAGTTCTTGCCCATAGTTCTTTGGCTAGGTTGAGGGCCCTCAAGTTTTCCTTTACCTCATTATCATGTCCTTTGTGTCGTCATTGTTCAGGTCTTTTTAAGGCAGCCATGTTGATGAGACTTGTTGAGTGTAGCCTTTCTTGCTTTTCTAGGAGACACAACCACACAATAACCTTCCTATGCCTCTGGCTCTTAAAACCCAGCCTCTCATCTGTAATGATCCCTGAGCCTTGGGTTCAGGAGTTGTGCTGTAGATTTGTCAGTTGGAACTGGGTACCACATGATCCCTTATTCTCTGCAGTTTGATCTGTTGTGCTTTTTCTGGAAGTCTCTGTTTGTTACAAAAAGAACTTTCTTTGATGAGAGGTTTGTTTATTTTTTATGCATTTTAGGCTTGTAAGAAAAATTGAGTGACTATATGGAGGGTTCTAATACATCACCTCCTCAGTGGTTCTCTCTGTTAACACATCAGTGTTAAATATTAACATATAAAATACAACCCAAATGACATCACTAGACAATATATGCAGTCCCTCAGCCACCAAAACATCATTATTTGGTGAATGTCAGTGTTAAGTTTCATGCTTCGTGTTCTGTAGTTCTATGATTTTTGACATGTGGATACAGTATACTTAAAGTATACTTACAGTATACTTATGATAAGTATATACAGTATACTTATCATATACAGAGTACTTTTCCAACTCCAAGAAGTCCTGTGTTTCCCCAGTCATCTCTCCTTCACTGTCCCTGAGGTTGGGAGCCACTAAGGTTTTTTTGCTGTCTGATGTACTTCTATCTTTCCTGGAATGCCATGTAATTGAATTCACAGTGTAGCCTTTTCCAGTTGGTTACTCTGATTTCACAAAATGGTCTGGACAGTTTCTTCTCAGGGTCTAATTGGCCCTTCCTGTTTTATTATTGTGTAATAAACATTGTGTGCTTGTTCTAAATCAGATCATTTGTCTAGTCTTCTTTTGAAACCTACCTTGCGTACCTTGAGTTTTGGACACTTAGGTGTATATTTAACATTCTGGTGCAGAGTTCAGGGCGAATCTCAGCTTTAGCTAAGGGTGTACATAGTAAGAGAATGACTGTTGGGTCATGTTATAAAGCAGTGTTTAGTTTTGTAGGAAGCTGCCCAACTGTCTTCTAGAGTGTGTGGTTTTAGGTTTGATCTGAGATACTCTCAGTGCTAGAGGAAATAAGAATGTTGGAATGACTAATGCTGTTGGAAACTTCACATTTGCTCAGTTTCAGGGAATGTGAGTTTCACAAGTGGGATGATCAGTTCTGTGCATGTTGCCACCGTCAGAGACAGTCAGATATTTTGTTTTCTCATGTAGCTCAACAGTTTTCTAATTTAAATTTAACTTCTTCAGCTTCTATGCATTCTTCTTCTGAACAGATTGAATATACTTAAGATGTTGGTGAAGATAATCTTGGGCTGGACTAGCATGTAGCATGTTCAGTGATAGAGCATATGCTTAGCCCATGGTAGGCCCTGGATATGACCCCCAGCACTACCACTTAGAAGCAGAACTACTCACCAAGTCCTGTGGAGAGTCTTAATCATAATTGTTTCCATTTAGTCTCTTTTATTGTTTTGTAAGTGTCCCATCTGATGTGTCTCCACGGGCTTTTGCTTTATGGTGGAGACCAAGAGAACACAGAGATGCTGATAACATTATCTGAAGCTTTTTATTATTTGCATTTTCCAAAGAAAGCTGACAGGTGTGAGATAGTAGCATGTGCTGTAAGGAAGCCTAGACTGAGAGCTTTGCTGGAAGAGGGTCCATGAAAGGCAAGGCAGGACAAATGGGATTGGCTAGTTGTTTTTTTTTTTTTTTTTGAGACAGGGTTTCTCTGTGTAGCTTTGCACCTTTCCTGGATCTTGCTCTGTAGACGAGGCTGGCCTCGAACTCACAAAGTTCTGCCTGGCTCTGCCTCCTGAGTGCTGGGATTAAAGGTGTTCGCCACCACTGCCCGGTTGGGATTGGCTAGTTGTGATAATGCCAGTGGGCTTTGAGCAGTGGGGTATTTCTTAGTTGCATGGTACCCCCCCCCCCGCCCCCATGATTTAGAAAAGGGGAAATGCTGGCTTGATATATACATATTAGATAAGGTGTTTGAGGTTGTAAATTTGGGACTGGTTGGTTTGGTATAATAAGGGGTGTTCCTGACCATGCTCTTTATCCTCCCTGAGAATGGGCTATCTCTTTGAAAGGCAGACTGTTTCATGTGGATGAAAATGTTTAAGGGGCATAAAGCAAGGGAAAGACTGAACATAAAGAGAACCTGAGTTAAGGTCAAATTAGTGATAAATAATTTGTGAACTATCAAGTAGGTAGAATTACTAAACAAGTCAGGACAAAGTGAGAAGATGAAATCTTCCAGGCATTTCATTTGAATATCTGTATGGGGATGGCAAGAACACTCACTAAGACTGGCAAGCCCCAGCAGTCAGGAAAAGTAATAGAATTTTATGGTGAAATATCCTTTTAAACAGTAAATCAAAAGTTTTCTTGCTCACGCTCTATGTCCATCAGAGGTTAACTATGGCTCTGCCTTTGTTGTCTTCTCTTGAGACCCATCCTTGTAGGTTGTCGCTGGTAACTTTCAAATCCATGCTGCCCTCCATTCACATCTCACTGGCCACCAGTGGGCTGGGAGAATCTTCCTTTAGGGCAAGGTAGTATGCATTTGGAAAAAGAGTCCTCTACACCGGAGAGAACAGAGGCATCAACAGGTTTAGGATTTAAGGGAACGGAATATGAGAAAACTTGAAATGATTTTTAGGTCTTTGGGGATGTGTTAGCAGAGGAAATGAAAGCAGTCACCATCCAAGCCCTTGCCATGTGTCATGCTGAGCGAAGCCTGTCTGTGCACTGTTTCCTTCATTCTTACCACAGTCTCAGAAAGCATGAAGATTTCCATCTTTTTAGAGACTACAAATTACAGCGATGTTTAGTTGTATGTTACTAGATTATATCAGTAGCTTCTAAAAGGAGAGACAGGGATCAAGCTGACTCTGTAAGGTTCCTAGTCACATAGCATAGTTTTAATTGCCATAAAAATTAGTTTAATAGGCTAGATTCATAAAAGATCACATTGGAGTCAGAGATCTAAAATTACTGACATATTAGAGGTAGTAAAGCCATAGGAATATGTGAGATTATTTGTAATGAAGGAGCTTATTTTGGTGTGCATGTAGGGGAAATGTTAGTAATTAGTAATACAGCTCCCAAATTAGCAGGTCTATGGCTGTTTGAATTCAATGGAGCTGCTTGAAGCTGCCTATGGCATCATGTTCCTTGGCTTTCTTTTTTTTCATGGACTTCATGCTTTTCCAGCTGTTCCCACCACGGGGAACTGCAGTGTCAACCATCTGGCCCTATATTAGGCAAACATGCAGTAACAGAGCACTGGCCCCGTGACCGTGGTTTCCAGGGAATCACTAGCTGAGTCCGATAATGACAGTTTTTTGGAGATGAAAGATCTATGGAGCTCTATCATTCTGACCTTCAGTTGCCATTGTGGCTTTAAGACTTCGTTTTCAAGGCTGAGGATAGGGAGGAGAGGAGAGCATGGCTTGAGTGGTTCAAAGCCCACTGTTCCTCCAGGATCCAGCTGTTTCCTTGAGCAGAGGAAATCAAAAACAGCAGTGAAGACAAGTAGGGATGTTTCCTTCTTCTCCCTCTACACCACTTAAACCTAAAAGTTGCATTTCTGAGATGAGCATGTACTGTTGCTATTTTATCTCTGTGGAGGTTATGTGTAGTTAAATGGGAAATAAGGTTTACTAGTAACGGAAATTCAGATATGGGAACTTTAGAAAGTGATCAGACTTAATTTTAAAAAGATATAAATTAAGTTATGCACTTTTAAAAACAGATACTTATGTACCAAGCTACTCCCATTTATTGAACCTTGGGATTCAGATTTCTAAGACATTAAAGTAATCGCTCACATGTTTGTGCAGCAGAACCCTAATGCAGACCTTGGGTCACAGTTTCACAGCAGCTGAACTTGTCTTCTCCTTGCTTTGTAGCTTAAAATAGTTCGTTGTTAAAGCCTTGCTTAGAAGCTCTAGGAAAGTTAGAATTTAAGCAGTAAAGCAGGACCCTACTTTCCATTGGTTTATTTCTTTTGATATCTACACCATGCTGCTTTCCATAGTGCTTCATGAGAAAATAAAATACCTTAAAAAACAAAAACAAACAAAACAAAAATGAACTCCATTATCAGATGTGAGGAGAAATCATGAGGACTTAAGTTCAGTACTCAGAAACCACTTTTCTTTTTAAATTAACTTTTTTATACATAAGGTTAATTTATACATAATGTGTCTACATGGTTCAGACTAGATCTAGTAATATTGTTTTTATAAACCTTATCTGAAAAGCTTTACTTTATAGTAAAGGTTCAGTTGTGCTCCTCCCTAAAACATTAGCTGCCTGCATATTTAAGTACCGCCTCTGTGTGAAATATGATGTTGATTCTTGTCCTAATAGATAATAAAAGTTTATTTATAGTTAGGTTGAATTACAGTGTAGTCAGGGAAAGTGTTTCTTAAAATATTATTGCTTTCTTAGGAATTGATGCACAAGTCAATTTCAGAAGCATGTACAGAGGTTACTACTATTAGGTAATGTATAAGGATCCTAAATAAAAATAAATTTCTAAATAATGATGCCCGAACCCCACAAACTTATAGATCAGCATATTAGATTGAATGCCAAAACTGCTTTAATACTTGGTAATACTAGAGTATATTAGAAAAAATAATTTTCTTATCCCAAGATTTTAACATATATCTTTTATGCTTCCCTTTTGGGGATGGTGCATGAATAACACCCTCATTCTTTAGCTAGCAAGCAACAGTCCCAGGGATCCATATCTTTAAACATGCTGCAGGCCGGGCGGTGGTGGCGCATGCCTTTAGTCCCAGCACTAGGAAAGCAGAGCTAGGCGGACCTCTGTGAGTTCGAGGCCAGTCTGATCTACAGAGTAAGATCCAGGATAGGCACCAAAACAACACAGAGAAACCCTGTCTCAAACAAACAAACAAACAAAAACATGTTGCGGACCCTTAATTTTTTCACCAATGTAACTCAGAAACTAATTGTAAATCTAAAGAGGCTAGTAACCTTAATGGGCACATTAACGAATGCCTTTTGTTCCCAGAGAGCAATTTATGTTTAGTGAAAGTAGAGCCATAGATTGTCTACAAAACCTCTTCTCCAGGAGTTAGTCATAGGATGAATTCAAAGTTTGAGGAAAGAAGGTATGTTGGAATTAGCTTTAAAGGAAGAAAATGCAAATTAAAACCTCAATGAGGCCCTGGGTGTGGTCTCCAGAACCATAAAACAAAACAAAACTTAAAAAGAAAGTAAGTATTAACCAGCCTCACATTGAAAGGCATCAGTGGGATCTTTTATACACTGCTGGCTGTCTGTTTTGATGGAGTTATTGGAAGCTGCAAGCCAGTAATGATGTCAAACTTGCTAAATATTAGAAGTTGATCTTGAACTGATTCATCTCCTAGCTTCAGTTCCCAAGTGCTGGGAAAAGTGTGCACTACTATGCCAAGAAAATCTTATACATGTATGTAAGGGTACATGCACAAAACTGTTCATTGCATTTTTTTTTGCCTGAATAATTGGAAGTGGTATAAATGATCCATAGTAGGGAAATAGGGACAGATTTTAGAAAATTCATGAAGAGGATTCATGCTTGAATAATGCTTACTGGTATTCTAAGGGCATGTTGTATGGGTATACATACAACTACATAAGCTACCAAAACAACAACAACAAAAACCAAAGAAATATACAAGGATGTAGGTGAAGACTATTAAAGATGAAAAGATATACTCCAGATTCATACACAGTCACATACTCACACAACCATGCACACAACCTCTAAACTTACACTTATCAAAGGAGTATCATTGAGCAATATTAAAATTCTGGTTGATGCTTACAAGTAATGAATATAATACTTTCTACTTTTCCATTTATTTGAAATACAAAATACAAAGATATGAGATTATATATTTTAGGATAGTTGATAAAGGTTTTAAATGTTATATTTTGACTTTTAGATTTGAGCTAATAACTAATAGGCAGTCAATAATGCTTCAAAAATAGATAAGTGAAATGAGAAAAATCCTTGAATTATTTTGGCTTAGGAATAGTCATAAGGAAAGACCCAGAAAGATGCAGTGCCATCAGCTTTAGAAGAAGATGCAGTGACAGCGGCCAGTGCCATCAGCTTTAGAAAGCTGCTGGATTATGTGTGAACCATGATCATGAGGCTTCTGGTGGGATTGCTGTCCCCTATGTATGGTTAGCTTCCTGTTTGCACCAACCACATGAACAATGTGAACAAAGTTTTCTTTGTAAAAGAGTAGCACCTGCTAAGACAGGTTATAATGCATATTTGTACTCCTAACACTTAGGAGGCTGAGGCAGGAGGATTGTCTTGAGTTTGAGGTCAACTTGGGCTGCATAGCAATACCCTATCTCAGAAAAAGCTAAACAAAATAATATTCTACATTAGCATTTGCTATTTAACTTCTGCAAATTCTGAAGTTGGGGAGAATTTGACGAAGAATCTGGCTGAAAGATTTCCCTGGGATCCAAACCAGTGAGGTGAAATGGTCTGGTCCAACTGGTGATAGCAACACCAGATGCAAGGAGATGAGCTTTTGTGCTGTTCTCTCAAGTGTATGCTTCAGTAATCACAAATGATTCTGCTTTTATTGGATTTTCTATAGGAGAGCTGTGAAAGTTTATATAGAAGAGGGGATAGCATGCCAATTCTATCACAAGAATGATTCTTCCCACATAGTCAGTTGCAGGGACATGGGAAGGTGCAGGTACTAGAACCTCTTTCTAGAGCATCCTCTGGTTCTGCCAGCCCCCAGTGCACAGTGCTTAGCCATATTGAAAGATTGTATGCTTTCCTTGAACACTGATTTATTGTTCTGAGTTCACAGTACTTCTTCAGTTCTAAATAAATACAGAACCATCAAATTTTTATTTTCAGTTTATTGGATTGGTTAAGAATCTCAACATTCTTTACTAACTGCATGCTAAAATATATATGTAATTTAAATATTGAGATAAAAAAGATGGGACATATGTTATGCAAACTAGAACCAGAACAGAAATGGCATTCTGTTTAAGAAAACTATATATAGTCTTTAAGTTAAAGAAAGGTTACTTGAGGTATTATCAGTTTTATAATAGGAGGGACTAATTTTGGGCTTGTAGAGATGGGTCAGTGGTTAAGAGCTTGTTCTGCTTTTGCAGAGGACTTCAGTTTGGTTCCCAGCACCCACTAACCCATTGGACAGGTTAGTGTTGCCTGTAACTTTCACTCCAGGGCATACAATGCCCCCTGCTGGTCTTCACGGGGAAACTGCACTCACATATATACATACCCCCATACAGACATACATGTATCTACATAATTTTAAAATAAAAAAATCTTAAAAAAAAAAAAGGCCAGTCAGCATGTAACAATAGAATTCCCCAGCTGGGTGGTGTTGGTTTATGCCTTTAATCCCAGCACTTGGGAGGCAGAGGCAGGCGGATGTCTGTGAGTTTGAGGCCAGCCTGGTCTACAGAGCAAATTCCAGGATAGGCTCCAAAAATTCACAGAGAAACCCTGTCTCGAAAAAGCATTAAAAAAAAAAAAAAAAAAAAAAAGAATTCCCCATACACCCAAAATGATGACAGAGTTGAAAGGATAGCCAATGAAACTAAATTAAAGAGTTTGCAAAGATAACCAGATATCTAACAGGTTAGTTAGGTTCATGACACAATAAGTCTTACACGACTGAAACCAAGACTGTGAGGTCTTAGAGAAAGAAAAAGGATATTTGGCTTTCACAATTGCATGCCAACAATTGTGTCCTACACGAACTAGACCAATATCTAGAAGGATGTAAAGGAAATAAAAGTGAATCAAAACAACAACAACATCTCAGTCTAAATAGAGCAATGCCAAGTAAAGAGAATCTGTGTGATGTATGCATGTAGACATACATACAAATTAAACGTTCACAAAGGGACTCCCAGACTCAGGTGACTTCTCTGGTGAATTGTACCAAATGTTCAAGGCAGGATTAACATCATACCTAAAATACATGCATAGAGTCATAATAGGCCAATACGCTGTATGAATATAGACACAGAATCTTAGCAAATCAGTCTAGCAACATCTAAGATGTTTACAGGACAACTCAGAGGTGTCTCCATGTGGTGCTATAGAAAAGGACAAGAGCTACATGGTTATGTCATTAGGCTCCAGAGTATCTGAGTGAACTCAGTTCTCCTTTCTGATGAAAACAAAACAGAGTGTCCATTCCGTTGGAAAGCGGTATAGAGGAGCTTCTTCCACTCAAACGGTACATATTACAAAACTCACATTAACTTTATACTTAATGCTGAAAAACTGAATACACTCCCCCTCAGATTAGGGTCAAGACATAGATGTATATGGTAACAAATGTTGGCAAACGTGTACAAGTTGGACTCTTCATGTATTACTGGTAGGTGTGTGATCTGGTAAGTCCACTTTATGAAATAGTCTGATATGTCCATGTTAAAAATTGTACAGCCATCATTTACAACAGATAAGATGAAAGTATTTTAAATGTCCACCAACAGACAAATGGATAAACAAGATGTTTGTATCCATACAATATTATTCAGCCACAAACTAATACCAAGTACTTAAGTACCTGCTACACCAGGATGGACCTAGAAAGTATGTCCAATGAAAGAAACCAGTCATGAAAACCTACAAAAGTTCCGAGTTAGAAGAAGGGGTTCTAAAATTGACTTTGGTAATGGGAAAGTAGTTTGGTGGTAGCGCACTTGCCCTGCATGTATGGATCCCCAGCTCTAAGAATAATGTACTGCCTATGATGATGGTTGCTTTTATAACTCTGTATTCTAAAAACTACTGAATTCTACATCTTATAGGACAAATGTTATAGCATATGGACTATATCTTAGTAAGACACGTTAAAGCCTGTGTACCTTTTATATTTATATATTTTAAATATGATTGTTAGTGGTAACTTACCCCAAGTTTCCATCTTTCTTTTACAAATGGATTAAAGTTGTGGAGCCATTTTTAAGTTTATACCATGGGTAGATGGTGATTTCCAGGTATAGGCCAAGTGCCTTACACACAGACGCCATTCACTTCATTACACGTGTGTCTCCACTCTGTGTGTGTAAGCGAATAGACTGGCATTCTCAAAATTAGAAATACAAATGAACTAACTGTAACTTTAAAACCAAAGTAAATTTAGAAATAGCATACTCTTAAATTCTGTCAGAGCCAGATGCTACTCCAGTTCTTTGTTGATTTGGTTGCTATGGTAACCAGATACATTCATGTACAATGGGAAGCTTCCTGTACATTGCTAATTGGATAATGGTTGGAGGTGGATATGGATGAGTGTAATTCATAAATGATTATATCTTTGCCATTCTACCTCTATATACGTTCGTTATACTAGGTAGTTCTAAAATTATGTGAAATGTTGTTAGAATAGAGTTGTATAGGCTTACCTTTTTAGACTAAGCACAAAGACAGTCTGAAGTCCATTTTGTCAGTGAGAACTATGTTTAGTAAATCGGAACACACAACTCCGGAGCAGAAGCTGTTGCATTTGCTAGCAGCTGCTGACAGCTGTGGTAGTAGCAGGTGAATGAAGACATTAAAGAAAATGCATGCAACAGTAAGTAAAGTGCTGTGGTGGCCGGAAGGGCTTTACTACGTGTCTGTGACTAACACTTCAGTCCAACTTCATGATTTGTATCTGAATCTTACGTACTTACAGATTAGGGATCATGAACTGTCTAAAAATATAGGCTCAGGAAATAAAAATTACACTTCCCAGTTTTAAGTTTAATTTAGCATTAATGACCTTTTTTAAAACTGTAAATAATTTTATTAAATCTCTAGTTTTCTTTATTTGAAAGAATACTATGGTTTTAAATGAAAAAATGGTGAAAGCAAGTTTTCAGAAGTATAATTAGGATACTAATATTTAAATATATAAGTTATTTATCACTGAGGTTATTTTAGCTTATAGCTTGTATTAGAGTTTTTGCTGCTGTGACCAATCACCATTACTAAAAGCAAGTTAAGGAGGAAAGGGGTTATTTTTGCTTAAATTTCCAGAATCACAGTCCATCAGAACGTGGAGGCAGGAGCTGATACAGAGGCCATGGAGGGTGCTGCTTACAGGCTTGCTCCCCATGGCTTGCTCAGCCTGCTTTCTTATAGAACCCAGGACCACCAGCCCAGGGGTGACATCACCTACAGTGGGCTGGGCCCTCCCCCATCAATCACTAATTAAGAAAATGCCCTACAGGCTTGCTAATAGCCCCATCTTTCTTCCTTTTTAATAGAAAATATTTTTTCCATACATCATATTCTGATCATGATTTCCCCTTCTCCAAGTCCTCCCAGTCCTTCCCACCTCTACATCCAACCAATTCTACACCTACCTTTTCTCTTTCTCTGGAAAAATAAACAGGCAAACAAAGCAGAATAAAAAAATAATAACAAAGAGAAAGCACAAGAAACACACACACACACACACACACACACCAAACCCACAAAATCAGAAACCATAATATACAAGTAAAAGACCTGTAAGATAAAAAAAAAATGCCCAAACAAAGCAATATGAGATAAATTGTCCACAAAAATATCACTGAGTTCCTTTTGTATTGTCCATCATCTGCTGGTCATAGGGCGTGCCCTTAAGTGATGTTAACATATCCAGTGAGACTCTGTTGCAGAAAACTAATTTTTCCTTGCAAGTGGGTGTTAGATGGAGATAGCTTCTTGGTTAGAGATAGGAGCTCTTGTTCGTTTCCCTGTCTCAGCACCGAGACCCCATCCTGCTTGAACCTGTGCAGGGCCTGTGCATGCTGCCACAGTTGTTCTGAGTTCATATGTGCATCAGTCTTGTGTCTAGAAGACATGGCTTCACTGGTGTCCTCCATCACATCTGCCTACTACAGTCTTTCTGTCTCCTCTTCTGCAAAGCTCCCTGAGTCCTGGGTTGGAGGAAGACATCCCATTTAGGACTGGCTGTTCCGGAGTCTGTCTCTTCCCATTGTCCACTTGTCTATAGTCAATAGCTATCTAGTTTATGGAGGCCTTTTCTCAATTGATGTTCCCTTTTCTCAGACGACTCTAGTTTGTGTCAAGTTGACATTAAAAACTACCCAGCACATAGCTTATGTTTCTTGCTAAGATAATCATATATTGCAGCATTTTATTTTAAGGTTTTTAGAATCTTTATAGCTGCTGTTTTCCTGGTATATGTCGTATGAATCAGAACTTATGAGTTCTCATTAAGAATGATGAGTTTAACTACACTGTATGAAATTGTGAGAATGAAAGTTTTTAAGAAGCCATATTAGGAAATCAGGAAAAGTAGAGGCTTTTTTTTTTTAAGGATTAAGTTCTGTATCTGAAATACAAAACTCAATATGTTCTCAAAATATTAAATATTAAAACTCCAGTCCAACAAAGAGAGAATCCTAGTCAGTCACCTAGACAGGGTGAAATAATTCAGCTTTGGGCAATAGTTGAAAGCACATTGTATATATTACAACAAATAGACAGTGTGTGCAAGCCTATGATTGTACATGTATGTACTCCATACATCTGTTTGTGTGCATATGCAACAGTTTATGTCCATGTCTACTTAGATGGTTTATAATCTGGTGGGCTTGTAAATTATTTGTCGACAGTTGAGTTTGTGTGTACTGTTTACTGCTCTTACTTGTTGAATTCTGGTGTCAAACATACCTTCTGAAGTCAAGTTACCATTTTTCATAGGACTAAAATCCACCTTAGACTATATTAGTTTGATAATTTTCCTTAATTTTTTTAAACCTTAATCTGTGGACTTACATGAAACATTATATTATCTAGCCCATGAACAGAATAATAGGATCTAGATAAATGCAATAAAGCCTGATTCAGAGTTCCTCTGACCAAGTCAGGGTAATGACTTATATAAGTCACTAATAATATATAATAGTATAAATAATGTATAAATTATTCAGACTTGTTTATGAGTTGACAGTATAATTTGTGTAACGAATGTACACAAACTTGATTTCTCAGAGAATTTAGATAAGTTCAAATTTAGACATAGTAAAATTATAGTTTTTTTCAGGTTAGTGAATCTGGAAAACTGTCAGAAACAAAATTTTGATGTTAGGAAGTCCAGAATTTAGTTCCTCGTTTTCACTAACTCGTTCCAAGTGCTCTGTAGCCACAGTAGACGGCCCTTCATGTCTGACAGCATAACGAAGGACGTTTCTGTCTTGGAAGCTCCGGAGTAACTGGTGTTGCAGCCAAAGGGCAGGCCTAGCCATTTGAAGGTGGACTACCCTTAGGAAGTGCTTCTCTCTGTCCCTGCAGTCCTCTGACTGTAAAGGAAACACTACAAGTTTATGAAGTGTCCGTTGGACTGGGACGGCAGTGTGTAAACAGCTGGTGTGTCAAGTGTCACAGAGGGACAGCATACCATGTGAAGTGTCCCTCGGGGGGCTGATTTAATTCCGGCTTAGGATGTCTGAGTCTTGATAGACAAGTGGGCTTTCTTGGAGAAAGCCAAGTCCTCATTCAGCACCCCATTCAGGAAAGTGTAAGCAAAAGTCAGATCTTAAATGTTTGTGCTAGAGAATCATATATAAATAATTCACGGGCCAGGGTATGAAAGCGAGGCTATTGCTTACCGGAACACTATATTGGAAAGAACAGAGATGGATAGCTAGAAAACTAGAGGACCGACAAGCTCTTTAAACAGGTGATTAAGTTAAAAATAATGTCACTGGGGTAAGACTTAAAGCAATTTGGTTGGTTTCCTTGTAGGAAGGAGGGAGTTAAGACCCAGCTACATACAGAGCAGGGAGCAGGCAGAGCCCCAGAACAGAACAACTCCACCTTCACCTCGATCTCAGGCTTCTGGCCTCCAGACTGGGACAAGATCCCTTGTGGTCTTCGATCCAATGGCCCTAACAGACTAGCAGAGCCTCCAAGAAAGTGCATTATAAGGCTAGAAATTGATATGTATGTTTTGATTCTGGACCAACTTTCTTGCCTTATTTACTAAATTTCCTACTGATTTTCAAATAAGAAATGTAAACTGTTTAGTCTCCTCAGACCCAACTTAATGTCTGTAAAGAATGCAAATCATGAACTCCTTGAAGTAGAGAGAAGAAAGCTAAGTTATACCTTAATAATTTATGCCATCTAGAAGCACTAAAATTTTTTTCAATAATTTAAGTTTATAGATTTTTTTTTCTTTTTGGTTTTTCGAGACAGGGTTTCTCTGTGTAGCTTTGCGCCTTTCCTGGAACTCACTTGGTAGCCCAGGCTGGCCTCGAACTCACAGAGATCCGCCTGGCTCTGCCTCCCGAGTGCTGGGATTAAAGGCGTGCGCCACCACTGCCCGGCTATAGATTTTTTTAAAACAAAAAATCACAGACATTCTTACGGAGTTAACGAATCATTGAATATTTTACAGTTATATAGATACCACTCAAAATAAATAATTTAAGTTACTAGAGTATAGAGATATGAACCTTAAAACTACTTCCTAAATTCAGAACTTCATTTTTGTTAACCATGCAAAACAAATTATTTCAAAGGACTTTTTAGTATATAGAACATGCTAATAATCCCAGCATTTGGGCTGAGTGAGGAGGATTGCTGTTTGAAGCCAGGCTGTGCTATAGTAAGACCTTCTTCAAAAACATTTTTAAAGACTTTTGTTTTGTCCCCAAATTTCTCCTTTAGAGAATTTAAAATATTTGTGTTTGTGCTCTGGACCAGTTATTGACTCTTAGGACTAGAAGTTAGTTATAACTTGCCTTCTATGTAACAAACCTAGCAGGGTTTTCTAATTGCCACCTACTAACTCTCCAGTGATTACATTTTTAACAGGAAGACTGTTCCCTGGAGTTCAGACAGGGGACGATGCCATGCTCCTCACCCTGCAGAGTGACTTCAGTCTCTACACATTATTAACGAGACTGGGCGTGGCTTTAAGGTCGCTTTCCTTCCCTGTGATAGAGTAGGGAAGGTGTGAAGTGTTTATACTTCTCATTCTCTTTTTACACCTATAGGATTAGGTGTAATGAAAGCAGTAAGAAAAATTACTGCTCAATAACTGGATGTCAACATGTAGAAGATTGCAAATAGATCTATATGTATTGCCATGCACAGGACTCAAGTCCAAGATCTCAACATAAATCCAGTTACACAGAACATGATAGAAGAGAAAGTGGGAAGTAGCCTTGAATGC